CACTGATTTATGACTTTATGATTTATAGACTTTATAGTTTCTTATTTTAAAAATGAACAAAATAAGCTAACCACTAAAACAAATAAAGCGTAATGTTACTGAGCAACGTTAATATGCAACGTCAGATAGCATTTATGGTTTTTAAACTAACAACTTGCTAAAACACCGTATAGTGGTCACCTCCATTGATTTATGAAATTGAGTTATGATGACACATTATTTGTGATGTACGGTTGAGGATATCTTCCAATATGAAAACCAAATACATTGTTTTATTAACACAGTTGGAAGTTGAAGACACTGTGTTAAAATGCCGATTAGTGTATATAACGCATATACATACAGTATTACGACGTGTTTTGAGCTGACGCTCATAGTTAGGCAGTCGTTTTTTTCAAACGGATGTTTTAATACAATTTCTTCAAGTTTACAACTTTTAACTTACTGTTCTCACTAATGCGTATTATTTTAACTGTCTTCTCTTCTTCAACACATATATATATATTCCTTAAAAACGTCATTCCCCGGATAATAAATCACCAGCACCAAATAGGACAACAACTTGCCATACCCCAGGAACCATCCTTTTACAGTAGTTTTGTTTGCATCATCATGACACCAGAAAACACTTCTTGTGACTTCATTCGCTTATAACAAATATAAAACAGACTCCAGACGATGAGTGGACTGGACTCAGTGAGTTTAGTCTTTTACAATTTAATCTATGGAGAGAGTTTCAAACTTAAAAATAGGATCAAAGTCCAAAGATGTGCATTTTAAACATTGATTCTATTTTAATTTTAAAATTTAATGCACAAGTTGCCTTAATTCTATCTTATATGGAGAGTTCGTTCTTTAATGGTCAGACATCTTTGAGTAAATATTCTGTCATTGATGTGTTCTACCCACAAATCTTAAAAGTCACGAAATATATAGGATATGAATACTAGTTCTAAGAAAGAAAATAAGAAATAATAAGTAATTCTACGTTCGTTGGTAAAATCAGGTAAATTACTTGTTTTTCTTTTTTTGTTGTTAGAAGCTGGTCGATTAAACTTTGCAAAATTAGTTAACGTTCTATACAATTAAAAAAAAGAAAAATAATGAACTGTCAAGAAAATTATAGATCAGCTTAAAGTTTTTAAACACAGTTCTTTACAATTAATTCATTAACCAATAAAAGTAAAGTGATCACGGTAGTTTACAAATTTCCCACTAGATGGCAGGAAGGTAAGTCAAATTGTTTGGTTTGTTTGAGAAAAACCTTCAAAGCTACAAATGAGCTCAAATTCGATGACGAGGAACCCACTTTGAGACTAATAATGGTTGGAGACGGCTTGAATGGGTAATGATGAAAAACTTTAATATAAGTTTAACATAACAGCAATTTGTTTTTCTTCATTACCAATTCAAGCCGTCTCCAACCATTACTACATATGAGCTATCTATGATAAGTATAGTACGATTAATATTATAACTACTTCATCCATTTTCAGATATTTTTATGTACATTTTTAATTACACTATGTGCTCATTATAGACAAGAACAAAATAAGTTAAGGTGTAAATGAAATTTTTTTTCTTCATATCAAGTGGTTTAATTAAACACCTCATCAATCAATCAATAGTGACATGATGCAGACCATGATGCAGCTCAGACATTAATCATTCGGGTGTAATATGAACACTTGATTTAATATTTGAACTCTATCTAGGGAAATGTTCATTAACCTACATCTTGAACATACTGACCCTATTTGTCTCAAATAACACTAGTTAAATTCATAAAACTTGTCACGGTTATTTTCATGTAACTTTAAGAGGAATTATAACTAAACTGCTGCTTTTTGTGAATGAAAGATGATGATTTGCTTCAAAATTTTGTTTTAATTATATAAACTGCCTGATAGGCTGTTTCAAGTATATTGTTAACAAACATAGTTGTAATCGCCATAGTTCAGTTACGAAACGGATTTATTGGAAGAATTGGTAGAAAGTTTTAGTAACACAATTTTGTGAAAACCCGAAATTTGTATAAGAACATTAACTAAAATAAGCAGTAAAGCTAATTGTTATTCAATCTCCCCTACCGGCATTCAACAATTTAGTCAAACGGTTATTAATCACAAATATTATATTTATTTATAGATGATATTTTATTTCCTTGTGTATGAAAACTTTAAAGATAGAGCATTTTAACGTTTCTTATTATGTACATCCATTTCACGTTCGTTCTTCTATACAGTCATTCCACGTATAAATTTAGGTCCAATTCCTATAGGTAATTCATTGCATACGCAGACTGTGAAGTAGATTTTTCTAATTATACTAATATAGATAATATTATTTTTAAAGAAATCACACGAAAATTTATCCACATGAGAAGAAATGTTATATGTTTACTATTATTTTCTTCTTTAAAATATTTCAAACATATATTATACACAGCACAAGTGAGTGATGTTAAAGAACCTGTACATACATTGTGAGCGATGTTAAAGAATCTGCATATACATAGTGAGCGATGTTAAAGAACCTGTATATACATAGTGAGTGATGTTAAAGAATCTGCATATACATAGTGAGTGATGTTAAAGAACCTGTATATACATAGTGAGTGGATGTTAAAGAACCTGTATATGCATAATGAGCGATGTTAAAGAACACCCTCTTGCATCCTCAGTGCACAATTCTTTTTGTTATCAAACATAAAGCTGCATAATGAAATTATATAATAACTTTAAAATGCTAAAACAGTTTTGGCTAAAAAAGTCTTATACATAACAAACTTGAGGACAATAGTCAACCCTGTTGGGAGCTTTCACTGCAGTATCCGTGGTAGGCAATTCTTATTGCAAACTCAAAAACAAACTTGTATAATTTGTTTGATTCAAGGTTTCAATAATGTAAGTGTTTCAGCATGGATATCGAAATTTTGTACAAAAAAATATTAATAGGCAATTTCTTTCTATATATTTATTACATGTTAAATGGAAACAGATTTTTAAAATATTCATTTCCTACTTTTGTGAGCAATAATAAACTTTTACAAGTTTAGAAACATAGAAATTAAAGGTTGTGAAATATCTGATGCCTCTTCTAAGTGTTTAACAAAGCAAATGTTTTATTATAACGCTGTTTTAGCTGGTAGTGGTAATCCTGATCACCGCTGATAACAATAAAACTCTCTATCACGGTTTGAGATGTCTCAAGAAATGTATCTTTAGCGTTCATAGAATGTATCAGCATTTATTATATTCAGCATCCTAAGTAAAATATTTTTTTCTTTGTAATAAATATTAATTAAAGTTTTATTACAAATCCTTTTGTAACTTAGCCTGTGTTATAAACATAATTCAAAATTTAATGCTTACCCTCTCATGAGCTTCAGCAGCTAAACCGGATTTCATTGCTCTGTTTTGGGCCATTCTTTCAAATGTCAGTTCAATAAGATGTAAGTTTTAGTCAGGTCCATCTTGTGCGCAAGGCGGCCAAACGTATTCTATACAGTAGAAAAGGCTCTGAAGAAACTAGTCAAACACCGGTTCGTGTGCCACTTAATACTGCCCCAATATCAACAGAAAGATAGAGTTGTCACGTGACTCTGTCGGAAAACCAATTGGATAACACCTAAAAATGAGTCATAGTGACCCTAAGTCTTCCTGAAAGCCATGTGTATGGTCTAGTAACATATAGTTACTATCTATTGTTCATTATTGCTATTACATTATACTATTTCTGTGTCAGTAATCCAGCAAATTGGCTAGGGAAGGTGGCCTTTTCCAACAGTATCAGAGATATTTAGTTTATACATAATAGTGACCTATTTCGTTCAATAATTATTTCGAAGTCAGTTTCAGTTACAACTAGACAAGTTTAATATTTATAAGAAGCTCATTTGGTCGTCCAGATGTTTCAATATGTAACAATATTGAAAGTTATTTTCTTACTTAATTAACCTGTACTACTTCATCTCATTAAAAATGTGGTTATTTTTACACCTACTGTAAATTAACAATTCATGTTTCAAAAAATGCAAGATGTGCGCAAAGCATTTTAATAAAATGGTTATAGTAGAAGCTGAGTGAAGAAAACACTGATCATATTTGTGTATTGTGACTCTTTATGAAGTAGCTGTTAGTTTGAAGTTTCATAAAGTTTGTTTAGCACAAAGCTACGCAACAAATTATCTGATAGTTGTCCACCAAGTGAATCGAACTCTGAATTCTAACATTATACACCCTGAATCTTGCCATCGAGATACCGAAGGACAAGTTCCTGTTATTTGTCTGTAAAAATCATAAACAGTGTCTGTAGTTAGTACTGAGTATTTAAAGTAATGAAGAGGATACACTATATTGAAATATAAACCTGCAGATGAATATAGATTGTTTATTACCAAACTGCTTATGCGTAAGGCTAAATTTTCGTGAACTAACTAATATAAATATCTATAATCAAAATTTATTCTTGTCATCAAATGTGAAAAGTTTCATTAAATGATTAGGGTAAAAATGAGTTTACTGTCTCAGATGCACTTACAAAGAAGTTAAAAATGAGTTTACTGTTTCAGATTCACTTACAAAGAAGTTAAAAATAAGGGCCACATCCTCAACTGAATAGTCGTTCCTACATTTCCTAAGTTATTGTTCTGTCAACTTGCTCAATCGCTCTCCAAAACCATACTAGGCTACATTTAGTATGTTATATCACTTATATGTATTCCTATTTTATTGTTTATCTAGCTACAGATATAAACGTCTGTATACATCTTCATCTGCTAGTTTATACATTAGTCTATTAGTCTAGATGTACTTAAGTATGTATACCTCTCATTTTATCATATATATATTTATCTGTCTATACCTCACTTTAAAAAACCTGTCTAGAAATATCTCTTTGCTTGTGTTTATGGACAGTCATCTGGTTATCCAGTGAATTTTGTTGATATCATTCCTACAAAGAATGCTAAACATTTCGTGATGAGCTCCACCTCCTACCAGGCAACATCCGGGACTCTGTCAAGGGTAAAAGGTTAGTAACGGCCGACTGCTTTACGTCACTAACAAGAAGGGTAATCTAAATTACAAGATCTCATGAAGTTATAAACCATTAAAATTTTCCTGTTGTGCTTCTCCTTCATTTTGTGTTTCGTTTTGCCTTCAAACAATACAAAATAAAATAAAAACGCAGGTACGTACATGTATCTTACCTGTGTTACCCCTTGTTCTTATGATTTCACTGAGGATGATGATACCATTGTTTTAAATAACGTTGGCTGTTGTTAAGCGCAAAGCCACCACGAGTATCGAAACGCGGTTTTTAACGTTGTAAGCCTGCAGACTTGCCGCTGAGCCACTGGGGGGGGGGGGGTCATAAGTAAGGATACATTTGATAAGTAATTTTTATTTTGACTGTAACCACTGTGAACTACTAAGTTAAATATGTCCACTAATTTATGTTTGTCTAATTAATAGGCAGAAGTGTGACGTGTAATGACAAAATATAGTGCGATAAGGCTGAAAATCTTTACTAGTCTAAAACTCTATACTGCACCCAGTGACACAACGGTATATCTGCGGACTTACAACACTAGAAACCAGGTTTCGCTACTCGTGTTGGGCAGAGCACAGATAGCCCGTTGTGTAGCTTTGCGCTTAACAACAGTCAACGTTGAAATCAAGTGAAATCATAAGAACAAGGGGTAACACCAGTAAGATACACGTACGTACCTGCTTTTTTATTCTATTTTGTATTGTTTGAATGAAAAACGAAACACAAAATGAAGGAGAAGCACAACAGGAAAGTGTTAATGATTTATAAACTTCCATGAGATCTTGTAATTTAGATTACCCTTCTTGTTAGTGACGTAAAGCAGTCGACCGTTACTAACCTTTTACCATTGACAAATGTAGCTTTGTGCTTAAACTACAAACAAATAAACTACATACTCCAAAACGAAATATTACGTATTCTGCTCAGTCAGACAACATGATAAAATTTCGATTTATTATACTTTTGTTTGTTTGTAGTTAAGCACAAAGCTACACAATGGGCTATCAGTGCTCTGCCCACCACGGGTATCGAAACCCGGTTTCTAGCGTTTAACGTCCGCAGACATACCGTTGTGCCACTGGGGGGGTGTTATTATACTTTACCAAAGCCAAAAGCCAAAATTTTATACATATCTGCCTTGTTCTTAATTATGTTACCAAATAAATTAACCATAAATAAACTATCAGCATGAGAACCATCGACCTGAATATTAAAATAGTCAGGAGAATGAGAGTGTGTCAGTTCATATGTCAAAGAAGACGTCATAGTTGGTAAATATTGTTAGTAAAGTCTGATTTCTAAGTAAGCTTTCCTTTCCATGATGAAAATTAATATGACCATCGGTTGAAGTTTTAAAATTGCTTTAAAAGGATGGATATATATATATATATATATAAATGCTTAAAAATCGTTCATTTCACAGTTGTTTAATTCATTTTATGTTATTGAATGTTTTTAATTGAGTGATGGGGCTGTCGTTTAAACATGTGTTTATATAATAAATTCGTATTCTTTAATGATTTATTTATATCTAAACATTAGTAGAAGAATGTGTTTTTTGTTTAGCAGTTGTAATTCAAAACGTTTGTTTATTATGTGAGACATATTTAGTATATGAGCAGTGTAACTAGAGTGTTTTTATATATATATACTGTAAGGCACACCATACACTGAAGGACAATGGGTTAAAGTAACTACATCGATATACGAAAACAATCAATCTGTTGTATTGACCATGGAATGCTGAATCTCGGAATTTCTTTGCAAGAGTTTCAGAAAAGAGAAAAGTGACATTTGTTTCTCGGGTTGGTCAAAGTGTAGCAGGCAGCTAGATGCTTCCAGTGATATCATATTTACATAACAATGAAAATTATGTACATATAAATTTGTCGTATAACACCTAGACTAATTAATTTCATTATAAATAAAACCTGATTGTTGCCTAATGCAAAATCAAATAAACCTGCCAGGCAGTCTCTGAAGCTTGATTAGATTTACCAGATAGTCCTTGAAGGCCAACTTCTTCTGCTTGATAGTCCTTAAGGTTCAACTACATCTGCCAAGTAGTCTCTGAAGCTTGATTAGATTTGCCAGGTAGTCCTTGAAGCCCAACATCTTCTGCTTGATAGTCGTTAAGGTTCAACTACACCTGCCAAGTAGTCTCTGAAGCTCAACTATAATTGCCTAATACTCGTTGATTTTGAACTTCCTCTACTTGATAATGGGGTAAATTCAAGTACACCTGTCAAGTAGTCGCTGAATTGCGACTACATCTGTCTGATAGTAGTTGTAGCTTTACTAATCCTACCCTATAGTGTCGAAACTGGACAACTCGAGTCTGGTAATAGTTTAAGCTCGACCACACCTGTCTAGTATTTATTTAGAAGCAGGAAACCATGCACATGTAGCAAGAGGAAGTATGATGATATGGTAATATTAATATACGAGCTCTCATTCGCTCCCTATCTATTGTCTCTATACTTAAATCTCCCGAAAGGTAGAAAAGTATGTAGGTAGTAAAAAGAAGGCCAGGAACACTGTGCAGAAAAAGGGTATATAGCACTATCGGGACACTTTCTACTTAAAAAACGAAACTTGGTAATAAGAAATGATGTACATTAAAACTACATCGTCTTTTGGTAACAAGAAATGGTGTACATTAAAACTACATCATCTTTTGGTAACAAGAAATGGTGTACATTAAAACTACATCATCTTTTGGTAACAAGAGATGATTTACATTAAAATTACATCATCTTTTGCTAACAAGAAATGGTGTACATTAAAACTACATCATCTTTTGCTAACAAGAAATGGTGTACATTAAAACTACATCATATTTTGGTAACAAGAGATGATTTACATTTAAACTATATCATCTTTTGGTAACAAGAAATGATGTACATTAAAACGAGAAATGAAATGAAATATCTGAATTGGTTCTTAAACCATGCTCTTCGGATTATTTTTTATAGATTAACGCTATTTAACATACATTAACTATAAAGTGGTTAAAATAATCCATTTTATTGTTGTTCTCAAAACACCTTTATACATAGGAGTAAATTTACTTTCGACCAGCAACTGAAATAGAAGTTACAGAATCGGTAGTTGCTGGCCATGGTAATCTATACGAGATGATTAGTCATTTTTAGCATTTCCTTTATTTACTTAAAGCATCAGTTGAAGATTTAAGGTTATTTTCTTCTCCTATAACATCAAAATAACAATAGAAGTTATGTGATTTCTTATTTCCTCCCTATCATGTAATCTATTTATAATTTTGTAGGATTTTTATTCTCATTTTTCCATCTCTTCTAAAATACCAGTTAAATTTATAGGATTTCTTTTTCTCCTGTCTTTTAATTTTTAAATTGAAGTTATAAGATTTTCTTTCTCTTCTCTTATATCTTTTGAAATATCAGCAAAAATAGGTTATTTGATTCTTCTCTTCTATTAACTAAAATGCCAACCAAATTGTTAG